CTCTGAAGGGCTGGAAAAACTGGACCCTGAGACTCTGAGGGAGATCAGGAGCTGAACTCTGGAACATCAACATCTGAAAATATCTGAAAGTGTTCAGGTGCAAATGTGCAGCTTACAAACAAGTTCTTATCAGGACTCAAAGGTTGAAGAAAAAAGACGTTTGTTCCTGAAACGGATCTGCTGGTTTCTGCTCATTTAACAACATCCCTCTGAAACATGTGGACCCTGCAGTCCTCCAGGTACCGACCAATCAGAAACCAGAACACCAGGTCCTAACAGACCGGCTCGGACAGGAACAGCCCATCCTCATCAAGAGTTTCTGTCCTCAGGTCAATGCTGCCACCAGATGGAGAAATGCAGAACTATCAGTGAACACTGTTATAACCAGGTTTGGCCAGCAGGGGGCGCCTCAACTTCACCAATAACAACAGGTCCACTTCAGAGGATGGAAGACCAGACAACACAGAACACTGAGAATATTATTATCTATAGATAATCATAGAGTTCAAACAACACTGAGAAAAATACAAACAACATTATATATGAAATAAAATTACTGTAATAAATAAAAATATTATAGTAATAATAAACTCACTGTAAATAATAAAAACAACAACATAATAATAATAATAATAATAAACTTACTATAATAAAAACAACATTATATATGAAATAAAATTACTGTAATTAATAAAAATATTATAATAATAATAAACTCACTGTAATTAATAAAAACAACATTATAATAATAATAATAATAAAAAACTCACTATAATAAAAACAACATTATATATGAAATAAAATTACTGTAATTAATAAAAATATTATAATAATAATCAACTCACTGTAAATAATAAAAACAACATAATAATAATAATAAACTCACTGTAATAAATAAAAACATATTTAATAACCTGCTGCTTTGGTTCAGAGTCATTTACACATTTAAACACTAATCTTTATTTCATTTTAAAATATTATAGAAGAAAAACTTAAAAATTAATTAATTTATATTTACATACAACAGCCTGAACACACTGATGTGTGTGTGTGTGTGTGTGTGTGTGTGTGTGTGTGTGTGCTCTGAGTAAACATCACCATGGAAACCAAGTCTGTTGCTTTCTGAGGTGTCAGAGCAGAGTCCGTCCTCCCACTCTGCAGGCTGTGTGTGTGTGTGTCTGAGTGTGTGTGTGTGTGTGTGTGTGTGTGTGTGTGTGTGTGTGAGTGTGTGTGTGTGTGAGTGTCAGCTCTGAAGTGGACCTCAGGAACAGGTTCTCGTTGTCACTTACAGACAGTTGGTCTCTCAGAGTTTTGTCCTCACAGGAAGTGCTGCTGGTTTAACTGTCGACTTTAGTTCAGAGATTAACCTGCTCTTTATCTTCATCATCTTCATCAGCATCATCTTCATCAGCATCATCATCGTCATCGTCCCGCTGCTCTCACCTGAGCGGCTGCTATGACATCATCCCTGAGGTCACCTTCACGCTCGGTGAGTAAAATCCTCCGAGATGAGATGGAAGATAAATCCTCTAAATGATCTCTGAGGAGCTTTGACCATCAACATGATTGATCCATCAGCTGATCCAGAGCATCACAGCGGATTATGGACCCTCATCATCATCATCATCATCATCTTCATCAGCAGGTCATCAGTCGTCCCGTTAGTTTATTGATCTGTTAACTTTCTGTTCGATCACTAAAACAGAAACATGAGACACAGAAACTACAGTTCCCAGGGTGCATTTCACTCACAAACAGCCAACCAGAGAGCCTTATTTTTGAGGTTGTTCTGGAGATAAAAACACTGTTCAGACAGAGAGGCTCATGGGAAATGAAGTTCAACAGAACCGTTTCTTTTCCTGTTTTTATTTCTCACTCATGACATCATTTCCTGTTTTCAAACTGAATAAACATAAACAACAACAACAACAGCTGATCAGTAAACAACACTTGATTGACAGCTCTGAGGCCGCAGCGCCCCCTCCAGAGCGTTTTACATTCAGGGGGTCAAAGGTCAGGGACACTCAAACAGAGCAGCAGAAACTAACCTGAAGTGACCTTTGCCCTCACTCACTCACAGCAGGTCAAAGGTCAAAGTCTGGTAAATTCAGGTGATGATGTCAGTGTCATGTGACTCTGAACATGTGTTTTTAATCGTGTAATGGACCGGTACATGAGCAGGAAACCCGGGAACATGTCGGATCAGGCCGTCCTCGAGCTGTCAGGCGTGCTCATGAGTCAGGGGGCGGAGCTTGTTAAAATGGCGGTGTTGTGGCGGTTTCTCTCGTTTCGCGGTTCCTTCAGGTTTGTGTCCAAATAAAGAACCAGGTCAGACCGGACCTGGTTCTGGTCTTCACTCACAGTCCGAAGAATCAGCAGCAGGTCCAGAAGGTTCGGATCAGAACCTCGTGAATCCAGACGGTATAAAAAGAGGCGGGTCAGAGTCCGAGGACAGGAAGTAGAAACCCTGACAGAAAACTGGGTCAACCAGCTGAAACCC